ATGTCAATAGTTCTATTAAAAAAAATTATTTGCTAATTTTTATATAATTACCTTTATCTTTTGCATCGGGACTTCTTAGAATGAGAACATTTGTTTAAAAAAATTGATGATTTTTGATGTCATGATTAATTTAACGTGAAGTTGTTTATAAATGTTGATGAAAATTTTGGTGAGGTGGAGTTGCTAAATGATGATAGTTTTGGCATGGTGGAGTTGCTGAATAATGATGATAGTTTTGGCATAATGAAGTTGCTAAACTACAATAATAGCTTTGGCAAGAAGTAGACTGATAGTGAGAAATAGACTAATATCAAGAAATAGACTGATGTTTTGGCAATAAGGTGTGGTCAATCAAAATAGAGTATCTCTTTAAGATGTTATAGTTGGTGAAATTAAATGTTAAGCTGAAACAATATTAATTTTGTATAAGTTTTTAGTATGTATTTTTTAAAATAAGTTTCAAAAAGACAAAAAAAAAATCTACTGAGTTATTGGATATTAGGTATTTACTTTGAAAAAGAGAAGAAGACAAGAAAAGCAGATTATTTATATAAGTTTATCTTAATTATAATCTATATATTAGTATATGTAAATATAATGATGAGTATAGTAAAAGTTTTATAAGCAAAGCAAAAAAGTCAAATAAATATCATTAAAGAAAGGATGATATGAAAGAGTCAATACATAATCAGAATATATGATCTATTTATAATTTTTTATAGTCAGGTCTTTATTTCTAAGAGTCAATTGATTATGTTTTTGATTGTATATGATGTACTTCAAAGTTTTATTTTATATTATCAGATATAAAATTTACAGTTAGATAAAAAATAAAAATAAAAAATATATTATTATATAATCTATTGCGATTTGAAATTAAAATTCATATTATACAATTTACAAATATTTGTATTAAACAAACAAAAGGCCTATTGGGATACTGGTAACTTTATTGATAATCATTAAAATATAATAAAGTTTAATATACAAATATTTGAATTAAACAAACAAAAAGCCTATCAGGATACTATTAACTTTATTAATAATTTGAATCATTAAAAAAGTCAAATCAAAAAAGTTTAATATATAAAGAAAGACCTATCAGAATACTAGTAACTTTATTGATAATTTGAATCATTAAAAAAGTCAAATCAAAAAAGTTTAAAATATAAAAAAAGACCTATCAGGATACCAGTAACTTTATTGATAATTTGAATCATTAAAAAAGTTAAATCAAAAAAGTTTAATATATAAAGAAAGACCTATTAGGATACTAGTAACTTTATAGTGAATTCAAATCATTAAAAATGTATTAATCATATTGGTATTTTGATAACTCTTTTGAAGAATCAGATTACATATAATTATTGTCTATACTTCTTTTAATCTTTTTTTCTCATTCTATTTACATTTATCTTTATTTATATTCTTATACTATTTGCTCATATTTCTGTTCATATATTTTTCTATCCAATATTTTTTTTTATCATGGGTTAAAAGAAAAAAAATTTGATCGTTAAAAAAACAATTAAAAAAGCTAACCATCCTAAGTATTCAAGGAATCGCCATCTTGAATATTGCTTCTGCAATATTTGTAAAGGCATTCTTGTTGATCCAAGAACCAAGATGTCCCATATGGCTAGAAGGGATATTGTAGTAAGAAATTTCCGTAATATTGGTGAATCTTCAACAACCATAATAGACCTTCCAGAAATTCCATTTCCAGAAATAGAATTTTCAGACATGGAAATTCAAGATAGCCCTATGCAATTTGATACTGTTAATTCTGATAATAAATCAGTTATTTCTTCATATAAAGAAAAATATAATTTTATTACTAAAACACAATTCAAAAAAGGAAAAAAATCTGTAAATGGGAGAAAAAAAGAGCCCCATTACCTATAGAATTCATCGAAACCTTTTTCTTGGATGATGAAAATGATGAGGCTGGTTTATCAGAGGAAGAAGAAGATTTATATGATAATAAAATTAATTTTAATGCTCTTGATTTATTATATGAAGAAAATAAAAATCCAACTGAACCTGCAGATACAACTAATAATTTTACGTGAATTATTTTGTTTGCTCTGATATATCAAGAAAGATGTACACTATCCGATATTAAAACTAGTTTTTTGATAAAATTTCTTTGGTATCTTTGTATCTTTCATGACAAAAATATATATACCACCTTTTCT